TTCTAGAGATAGCCAAACGAAGGCCATCACGTATGGCCCATAACTCAGCAGCTAAACTATTGGTGGTGCTAATAATTCCGCGCGAAGCTGCCAAGCCAATTTCCATAGCAATCCCTGAAAATACCTCCTGCAACTGCAGCACCGAGGTTTCCGAGGACAGAGCCGTCCCTGTTAAGTTTGATGAAGGGGTGGGGCAGTCTGGTCCATTTAAAGTTCTCAACCCTTCTAACACGTTGGGAACAAGTACCCTTAGGCGCCCAAAATTCAACAGCTTTGTCCACAATTAAAGCCTCAATGATAGAGAGAGGATTCTGTGAGGGTCAGTACAGGAACTTATTGCGAGTAGGCAAATACCCCAGAGTGCGAAGCAGAAGGCAAATCCCCAAGGGATGTTAAGGGCCATATTAGAATCAGAACGAACGCAATTAGTCTTAAGCCAAGTAACAAAGTCAAAGCTGCATTGACTAGCAGAAAGCACCCCAGGTAAATTCTTACTGAAAATGGAGTTAGATACAGGACATGCAGGAGCCAAAAATATGATCAATAGTTTAGTACTAAGAGAATAATACTAAGAAGTTGTGCTTTTTATGTTGAAATAAAACTTTTCTAATAACAATATGTGAAAAAAAAAAAAAAGAATTAAAAAGGAGATATGCAATGATCAATAGAGATCTAAGAAATGTCTAAAAAACCAATAAGGGGTTGGATCAAGTGGTAAGCGACTTGTTCCAGTTTAAGTAAGGTCTCGAGTTCAAGATCTTGTGTACGCAGTAGCTCTCGCTGGGAGACTCACCCACCATTTCCAGGTGCGCGATGCAAGTCGGGTCCGATTTAGTCGAGGCGAAACCCAAGATACCAGGTGGGAAACCAAAAAAAAAAAAAAAATGTCTAAAAAATAATGATAGAGATTTAAGTATCATGAAGAATACTATGTAGGGTAATGAAATAAATATAATGATATAAAATGTTAAGGGAAAAACTGAGTTGTAGTTTTAACCAAAATTAATGAGAGAAGGAATAAGTGACTAAAAAAGAATAATATATATATAAGGATAGACCAGGCAAGCTATGCCTTTTATATTTTAATATAAAACATTCTAATATTGAGAAGGGTAAGAGAAAAAATTAGCATAAAAAAGATATATAATGATATGTTCAGATTAAGGAATTCCCAAGAACAATAAAGAGGGAAAAATGAAAGGAAAAAGAATAATAAAAAATAAACTTATCATCTATAAAGGTTAAAGAAAAGGTAAATGTAGGGTAGAGATAGATAAAAAAAAAATGAAATGTTAAGGCATAAGCCAAGAAACGAAATTGCAAGAAAAATTAAAAATAAGGGAAGTGGAGTAAGGATAAGTAAAAAAGAACTAAAACAATAATATCAAACGTTGTACCATATATGTTTTAGCCTAAAATATTTCTAATATAGACAGTTTCTAATATAGACAATAAGAGAGGAGGGAAATAGGATAGAAAAGAAATATAAAATGGTAAATGGAGATGCAGGGAGTAATAAAAAAAGAATAATATAGATAGAAAGAATAATAACAAATAAATTATTAATATAGAGAGAGAAAGAGAGGAAAATATACTATAAAGAGAAATATAATGATAGAATGTGAGACGGTTAGCTAAAAGATTGAGTTTTAAGAAAAATAAAAATAGGAGTTGAGTAAAGGCAATTGAAAATATACTAAGAGAATAATGCTAAGAAGTTGTATTTTTTATACTTTGACATAAAATTTGTTTAATAAAAAACATGTTGAAATAGAAAAAAAGGGTAAAAATAAATGAGATATATAATAATAAACTAAGATACATAAAATGTCTAAGAAAGAATAATAAAGATAAGAGTGTAATAATATGTAGGGTAAATAAATGAATATAATGATATAAAATATGAGGAGGAAGGTGAGAGAGGGAATTTCAACAAAAATTAATGAAAAGTGGATTAAAAGTAAGTGAAAAATTAAATACTAAGAAAATAATGCTAATGAGTCATGCCTTTTATATTTTGATTTGAAAACATTTTTAATATATATAAAGAGAGAGGAAGACAAATTGGGTTATAAAAGATATGTATGCAGTGAATTATTAAGAAAGAATTAAGTTAGGCCTAAATTAAATGCATAACATTAATATATAAGTGAAGTGTGATGCTAAAACAAATTAGAGAATTAAAGGCGCATCAAAGAAAAATATGGAGAGAGATACGGTTTTAATATAAGAAATTGAAAATAATATAGTATGTGAATAGATAGGGATAGGATTTAAGGTGGAGAGATGACAAGGGAAAAAAGGAATAATATCAAATAATTTATTAATGGGTTTTTTCAATCTATGTCTTAAGAATACAATTATTGTATTTTTTTAACATTAATTAATATTGAAAATATAAAAACTATCATTAATTTCACTATTAGTACCACGTGAATTTCTTTAATTGGGTAATTGTTTAAATAAATGTCAATTTTTATTTTTTTAATATCAATTATATAAAAAAATACAATAATTGTACCTTTAATATATATTTTTAAAACACAAATTAAAAAAACCCATTGTTAATATAGAGAGAAAAAATAAATAGAGATGATTAACAAAATTTTATAATTTATTAATCACTACAAGAGAAAGGGAACATCACCTATATTTGAGAATGCTGAGAATAACGACATTACCCGAATGGTAGGTTTCACTATATTCTCAATTAAAATTTAAACATATAAAATATAAATATTTTTTATTTTATTTTATTTTTTATTTTGGAATGAAGACTTAAACTATGTAATTTATAATTTTTCATTTTAAGGCTCCCATCCTGTCACCAAAAGAAGACGCAGATTCACAAAGAATCTAAAGAGAAAGCACAACTTCAAACCAATGTCGAATAAGCTAATAAATGTGTTGATCGATATTATGGAGAAGTAGATTCAAAGAATAAAAATTAAATGAGGTCATAAAGAATGAAAAAGAGTGTAGATTGTTGTTGCAAGAACAAATAGATGATTTAAAGAAAAAACTTAAAGAATCTCTTCATCAATAATAGAGTCAATCTTCTAGCAACATCTAATATGGTTCGTATTCAGTTGGAAAACCGTCTTCCAAAATACACAGATTATTTTAAATCAAATATAGAAAAGAATATGAAACAGAAAAGAAGATGCTGTTCTTCTACAATTAGGTTTTTTAAATATTTTTTTATTATTTTTAATATTAATTTAAATTAGAACAATAGAATTTTATGTCATTTGTAATTAATTGTTAGTAACTTATATTTACAATATATTTTTTTTGCATTCTTTTTTCTTTTAGATTAATTTTATTTTATAAAAAATTGTTTGTATTATTCAAAATTAATAATGATCAAATCACCGATTGAAATTAAATTTTTAGAAACTTGAAAATCTTATTGTTATTATATTCTGTCTTATTACTTATTTTTAGTGACAAAATTTGGGTTTACTAATATATATTATTATTACACAAATGCCCTTTGTAGTATTTATTAGCTTGGATCATTTGATACTAAATTTTTTGTCATATATTCTTTATTGCAATTATGATGACCTTTTCATCACGACGAAGTAACATTTGTGTGAAAACTATTTTGTCACATATATTAATATTTGTGACCCAATTTTTCTTTAGAGATACGTAATTGTAATTGTGACTTTTTTTGTCAGTTAATTATAACATTTGTGATGAAAATTGTTGTGACAAAAAATGTTTTTTATAATGAATAAAATTGTTATAATTAAGTAACTCATTAACAATGTCAATTTTTTTGTTGCTATAAGTTCTTTTATGTGATAGGTACCGAATTTATCATTAAGAGCATTAATAACAAGGGTTTACTAATAGTCTAAATCTCATCATTAATTTAGCTTGTGATGGAAATAAGAGTTTAGTTACCAATAATTTAGTTGCTAAATGTGTTTGTTTTTCTTTTTGTAGTGATGTTAATAATTTTTTTGTTATTATTCTTTTATATCTCTTATTTTTCCTTTTATATTATTTTTTCTTAGTCACTCCTTACATCTATTTATCATTATATATTTCATGTTTATACCAATTTTCCTTTTCTCTATTGTTAATATTAGAAATGTTTTTGGCCAAAACATAATTGGCACTTCTCAACGTTAATTCTAAATGTTCCCTCTCTTTCTCTTGAGAGGGAATGAGAAAGTGAATGTCTAGTATGGAGATAAATATAATGATAAATTATGATAGAGGAAGCTAAAAGATGGAGTCACAAGAAAAACTAATAAGAGGTGGAGTAAACTTATGTGAAGAAGAACTAGTAACAATACTAATGAATAAGCTATTTCATTTATGTTTTAACTTTAAAACTTTTTAATATAGACAACGAGAAAGAGAGAAATTGTGGTAAACAAAGAAATACATAATGATAAATAGCAATGCAAGGAATAACAAAGATAGAATAATAGAGATGGAACTATAGTGGAAAGAGATGGGAGTGTAGAGTAGATAGATCAATATAATGATAATATAATGGAGGGTAAGGAGAAGATAATGACACAGAGATAAAGAATAACATTAAACAATTTTATTAATATAGAGAAAAATAATAGATAAAAGTGATTGAAAGTTTCATAATTTATTAATATAGTAACAAATTATGAAAATTTATCTTTATTTTTTAAAATTAAATTGATTAAATTTAATAGCTTAAATTTTCTTTTATGTCTACCATTCACAAATTTTTTAAAATTAATACATCTAAAATTATTAATTATTAAAATAATATACTTTAAGATGTATTTATTATTAATTATTATTTAAAAAAAATAAAAAAAAAAAAAAAAAAACATACAAACCGCACACAGATTGATGTCTGGTATTATCATACAATTGTTGACTAACTGTATTTTCTGAGAAATTCAGGTAACCATCAATACTCTAACCAGTAATATAAGACCATCCTAGCTCTTCCTCCACCGTCCTCACCCACCTCACCAGAAAATCTCTGCCATCCTAATTCCCTGTAAGATTATTAAAAGAACATGGGTGGTTCCGAAAGGGTTGGAACTGCTGTCTTAATAGAGTTACTAATCATTGCAGCCATTGTTTTATCCTTATGCGCCGTAATTTCCAATGCTGCTTGCCACGAGGAGGAGAAACAAGCACTTATGACATTCAAGCAAGGATTGACAGACCCTTCAAATCGACTTGCCACATGGACCACCGGTCCGGATTGCTGCCAGTGGACTGGAGTCGTCTGCGGTAACAAAACTGGCCGGATAGTGGAGCTCCGTCTGGGAAACCCCCATGATTCCACTGAGGATCTCCTCTTTCCTGGAAAGGTTTTTGAGAGGTCCAGATTTGGTGGCGAAGTGAATCCCTCATTGCTCAATCTGAAGCATCTCCGGTACTTGGATTTAAGTGGGAGTGATTTTGAAGGTGAGATTCCCAAATTCCTGGGTTCTTTAAAGAATCTACGATACCTGAATCTCTCTGCTTCTGGGTTTGGAGGACTTATTCCTCCTCAGCTTGGAAACCTAACGAATCTCCAGGACCTGGATCTCCATGGTCTTTTGCCATCTCTGTTCTCAGACAATCTTCAATGGCTCTCCAATATTCGAAACCTGCAACACCTGGATTTGAGCATTACAGGTCTTAGCAAAGCCTCGAATTGGTTGCAGGTAACCAACGAACTCCCTTCTTTGGTAGAATTGCGGCTGTCTGATTGTCAACTTGGTCTTATACCTCCGTTACCAAATGTCAATTTTTCCTCTCTGGAAATTCTAGATCTTTCCGGGAATGGATTCAGCAACCCTTTTGTTCCTTCTTGGATTTTCCATCTCAGTTCTCTGGTTTATCTTGATCTTAGTCACAATAATTTCGGAGGCGGAATCCCAGATGGTCTTAGAAACCTGAGTACTTCTCTTACATTTCTTAGCTTAGAATCAAACTCATTCAATTCGACCATTCCTGATTGGCTGTACAGTTTCAGCCATCTCCAGTACCTCAGCCTGGCCGACAATTCCTTACAAGGTACAATCCCGGATGCCATTGTGAATCTGACCTCACTCGAAAGCCTTGATGTCGCATCCACTCAAGTTGAAGGACCATTGCCAAGTTCCTTGGCAAAACTTTGCAGCTTGAGAAAATTGTACCTTTCTGGTGTCACTCTGAAGCAGGACCTGTCTGAAGTCTTACAGACTCTGACCGGATGTATCTCTGGTGGACTTGAGCACTTGTATTTGAGTCGGTGCCAGCTGTTCGGTCACATGAGCAATCAACTTAGTCGGTTCCAGAACCTAACCGAGCTGTACCTGACCAACAATTCGATCTCGGGTCCTATCTCAGAGTCCTTAACATCACTAAAATCATTGACATCACTCGACCTCTCCCAGAATCTACTCAATGGGACATTTCCTGAATGGTTCGGACAGCTTCCGGAACTGCAACTATTATGGATTGATGACAATTCTTTACATGGTGTTGTTTCTGAGGCTCATTTCACTAATGTCACCAAGTTAAGGATCCTCGTAGCCGCCCGAAACCATTTGGTTTTGAAAGTGAGTTCCCATTGGGTACCGCCTTTTCAACTCGGTGTTATAGATCTTTCATCATGGAAATTAGGCCCAAGATTCCCTCCCTGGCTTCGTTTCCAAAAGGATTTCGTGTTTCTAGACATATCCATGGGAGAGATTAATGATACAATTCCGAACTGGTTCTGGAATCTGTCCACTCAGTTCTTTAATCTGAACATGTCTCACAACCAAATCCGAGGGAAAGTTCCTGAAGTTTTTGATATTTCCCCTCCACTAGGCTACCCTGCAGTCATTGATCTCAACTCCAATCTATTCCAAGGTACGTTACCCTGCTTGTCCTCAAATGTTAGAACTCTAGATCTTTCTAACAATTCCTTCTCCGGTTCGATTTCCCACTTCTTGTGTTACAACATGGAAGAACCAAAGCGCCTGCAAAATCTTCACCTCGCCAATAATCAGCTCTCTGGACAAATCCCTGATTGCTGGATGAATTGGCCGAATTTGCTTTCTGTTAACCTCAAAAATAACAACCTGAGCGGTAACATTCCGAGCTCAATTGGTTATTTATCCTTCCTTAAATCCCTCCACGTTCGCCGGAACAAACTCTCCGGAGTTCTACCGGAGTCGATGCAAAACTGCACACAACTCCTGGCTCTTGACCTAAGTGGGAATTCCTTCACCGGAAACATTCCTTCTTGGATTGGTGAAAGCCTGTCCAATATTATAATCATCAAATTTTGTTCGAATAATTTCCAAGGTCAGATTCCTGAAACAATTTGTAAACTTTCTTACCTTACAATTCTAGACCTTGGACACAACAATCTATCAGGAAGCATCCCGAAATGTTTCATGAATTTCAGTGCAATGTCCATTAAACGGAACTCAAGTGTCACAGTATCTCGCACCACCGGACAGTTCAGATCATCATTGGAGGCAACATGGCTTATGATCAAGGGATTATTGCGGGAGTACAGCACCACTCTGCCTCTCTTAACAAGCATTGACCTCTGCTATAACAACTTATCTGGCGAGATCCCCGAGCAAATCACTAGTCTTGTGGGGTTGATATCGCTGAATTTGTCGACAAATCACTTGACTGGAATGATTCCGGCAACAATAGGCCAGATGGGTTCTCTGGAATCCCTTGATTTGTCATACAATCGGCTTTCTGGAGAAATTCCTCAGAGCATGTCCCACTTGACTTTCTTGAGTGTCTTGGACTTGGCTTACAACAATTTGACAGGAAAAATCCCATCAAGCACTCAGCTTCAGAGTTTTAATGCATCGAGCTTCACCGGAAACACTCTCTGTGGACCTCCAGTGACGGCAAACTGCAGTACAGATCGTGCAACTTCCGGTGGTGGGGATGATTCCAGTGGTGGGGATGATGGGGGAGATGGACCAGATGGTGATGGGAGTGAAGTGGATTGGTTATGGTTTTCTGTTAGTTTGGCTCTGGGATTTGTTCTGGGATTTTGGGGCTTTGTGGGTCCTTTGTTGTTTATAGAGTCTTGGAGATTGGCTTATTATGGTATGCTGGATCGCCTGAGGCAAAAAATTAACAGCGTTTAAATTGGCACACATTTGTACCCAAAAAGTACCCAAGAAGAGCAAGAACAGTTGGGAGTTGAGACAAAAGTCTTGTGTCATGGAGCCCTGTGGAAATGTCTAGACAAAAATTTGCCTATATCATAACAGCAAATTGCACAACATACAACACTATAATACAACATATAACATGTAAGGATCAGATACGGATGGTCTCTAGTGTTACGTTGTTCAATAATATTAGATTATACTACTTTTATGAGGATATAGTTGTGGTTATTTATTCATTTGTTAAAATTATTTAATTTATATATAATTTAATTCATATTTATAATTTTTTAAAAGAGATGGTATTAGTGTTTAAAAATATCAATTTATAAATTAATTTTAATTTATTAAATAATAAATATTAATTATTTTATTAATTTATTTTTAATAATTAAATTAAAAAATTATTATTTTTTAATATAATGTATATAATCTTAACAAATAAAGGAATTGTCATAACTACACTCTTTTATTCGTTTCAGTTTTCTTGTACCTTGCTTGCCAAAACAGAGTGTCGATTTTTATTTAACATGGAGATGACATTTTTTTTTTTTACAGATGTAGAAGTGGGATCACTTAGTCTGAAGTAAGGGCCACTCTGTCAAATTTACCTTCTGATTTAAAGCCTTTAGGCGTTCAAATGATATTTGCTTTGCTACCACTGGTTTTTTTTCATTTTTCAAATAAGAAGAAGAATTAAAGGGGCGAGAGGATGTCAGTGCCACCACCTGGGTTCAAACCCACAAATTAGGACTAATGTTTTTTCAGAGAGAAGAACTTAGAAGTGGAGAGTTGATGCTTTCCTTGGAATCTTGTCTTGTTTTAGGCAAATCCAAGCTCGGCATAAGAAGCCCAAGAAGTACATTTCTTGGATCTTCTGTGGAAACCCAGTTCTTTTTAGTGGGTTGGCAGCCCAGATTTGCCCTTCAGAAGCAACGCAAACAAAGATTAGAAAGAATATGACTTAACGGGTTTGCATGCCCAGTTCTTTAGCCCGTGCTACAAGGTACAAGCACATTCCCTTCTGCCTTGTATTTTTCTCTAGTTCTTTCTTCTCTTTTTTGTTACTTGTTAAGTTGAGGGACATGATTTTTCCTTCTACTAATAATGTGATTCATTATAAAAAAAAAAGGGCGAATAATACAATTGATTTTGCACTTCCATGCACAATCATGCAAAAAATAAGCAATTTAGGCGCCTAATACCCTAATATGCTATGATAGATAGCAGTTTGGGCACTAAGAAACTTAGAAAAAGAAGTAAATTAGCAAAAACCTAGATCGACATCTTTATCTGAAGTGTCATTATTATCATTATCAATATTGTTAATGTTATTAAAATTTTGATTTTTTTAAAAAAATTCCAAAAAAAAGGGGTTGGTTAAACAAAAATAAATTAATAAACAAAAAAAAATAAAAAATACAACCAGAAATAAATAAAAATGAAAAACAATAAATAATTTTTCAAATAAAAAAAAAAAAAATAAAAATTTAAAAAAAAATGTTTTATAATTTTAATAATTATAATATTTTTTTATCAACAAAATAAATCATTTTATTATATGAAATACAAAGATACTTTTATTGGATACAAAAAATTTGTTCTCTCACAACACTAGTAAAAACATAACAGAAACTAAAAATGCATACCAGCCCAGAACAGAATCTTAAAAACATAACAGAACCTTAAAGAAACAACCCTTAACAGCCTCCAGTGAAGCCCTTCAAATCAAACACTGCTTCTGTTTATGAAATAGCTTTAATAACCTCTTGTACCTCTTCACAGCAAGTGCACGTTCCACCAGATTTACCCTCTACTGAGAAAAGGAAAAATCACAAACATCCACCTTGTTCTTAATAAAAAAAAAAAGACTTAACTTGAATCATATTCAATAACTACTTTTTAAAATTCTTAATATTATGAAACATCTTAATATTCCTCCAATATAATAAATACCAAGTGACAATAAAAAAAATACATGCATTCACCTCCTTTCTAATCATCTTCCTTTAATAATTATAATATTATTATTGATAATTATAATTATACCCCTCAATCCCAATTACTTCTTTATTTCTTGGAGTATTAGTTATATTATCCTAACATACCCAATACAATAGTATTTTCAAATGACGGCCAACTGCCACTCCCTTTTGTCTGTACGACCAGGAAGTGGATCTGATACTGGTGACGGTGGCTGCAGTAAAGTACAGCCTCCTTCTTTGACATTAATTCTTTTAGACTTTTAGTGCATTTTCAAAGGCGATAAAAGACTTTGACCGCAGCAAATCCAAACTAGGTTGGAATGTCTCTATATATTAATGTTAGATTCAAAATCAAGTTGAACCGAAAATTAAATCAATGTTACTGTTGAACCTGGCCCTATGGACCAAGTGACTTCGGTCACTCTTGTAAGGTTCGTTTTCCCTCTTCAAGAGTAACGGTTCAAGCTGATCCATAACAAAATGTTCAAAAAAAAAAAATCAATGTTAGTGTTGGTATGAGTTACAGGGACTGAAAAGCTAGTTATTTTATTATGTATTTGGTGACAGCAAATTAGAACGTGTTAGTGGCGTAATTGGAGATAATTGTTTTATCAAAAATAATATAACTATAAATATATAAAATATATTTAATCTATATTTTGATTAACATTTTATATATTTTAAAATAATAAAAATTTTCGGTTAAAGTACTATATTGGTACCTTAACTTTTCATTTTGACACCAAAATTGTCCTTCAACTTTAAAAAGTATCAAAATTATCTTTAAACTTTCATTTTCAATACCAAAATAATCCTTCCATCAGTTAAGTGCATAGGTGACATGTTAAGATGCCACAAAATCACTGACTTTTTTGAATCTTAATGATGTGTAAATCTAGCAAAGAAAATCTTGTCACCATGGCATGTTTTTATACACATGGCATATTTTTTTACACGTCATATTGTCACTTTTTTAACTTTCCCTTTTAATGGGGTCCACATGACATTTTTTTAACTTTTCTTATTCTTTCTCTCTCTCTCTCCTCTCTTCCCTCTTCTTCTTCCCCTCTAGATCTAGGGTTGAGGGTTCTCTCAACCTGAATGCCATGCCAGAGTGACAATGAATGGAATGGATTCTTCGATTGGAACCAAGCAACATCATCTTCGACACAATGAGCTTCTCCACACCTTGAAACTCCCAAATCCACAAATTATATTCACATACGAATCCACAAGTAGGATTCAATAAATACCAAAATTAGGAACGATAAAGCATACCATAACGATCCCAGCTTCGCACTTGATGCCAATCACAATTTTGAAACAATAGAAAAAAAAAATCTTGAGCAAATTGAAATTACAAGCTAAATGCACAACAAAACAGAAATGGAACAGACCCACTGTTATCGACGGCCTTGGCGGCATACTTGATCTGGAAAACTCTACCTCATCCTTCTTCTTTCTTCTTATTCTTTCTCTCTCTCTCTCTTTCTCCTCGCTTCTTCTTCCTCTCTCAAACCCAGATCTGGGTTTCATCACATAAATTTGGGTTGTGGCAATAATCCACCGGCGTCAAGCAGCGACCATCACCAGGACCATCATCGACACCGATCTGAGATATCCTCGGTGGAATGCCACTCACGCAACGTCGAACCAACATTTCGTCCATTGAAGAAATCCAATCACTAGCATGATTGTGAGGGTGATCGTCACTATGATTACGATGACCTGAGAAAGACCGTGACCGCCACCACCATCACCACTGCTCAGAGTCCTCTGCAAAGCCTAGGACTGAAGCAGCCACTAAAGCTGCTTCTATATCTCCAACAACAACTACCGCAGACAAGAAGCATAAAGGGAGTGTTTTCTCTCGCATAAGTTTCCCTGAGGAAGAGACCAATAAGAGATGCAAGCTGTCCTCTGAGCCTTGAGGGATTGAGGGATTTGATTTTGTTGGTTTTAAAGGATAATAATAAAAAAGGGAGCCTTGAGAAATATGTTCGCATTTTCTTAAAATTGAATATTGTTTTCAATTAAAATAGAAAATAGGGAAAAAAAATATCTCGTCGGGTCAGCCTTGAAGATGGTATTGCTGCGAGCTTGACTGCATTTTTGCTTCTTTTCTTCATTTGATTTCTTTGATTGCAGTTGGAGGAAAGAGAAGTGTAGAAAAAAATTTAAGCAAAACCCAAATTTATGTGATGAAACCCAAGTTTGGGTTTGAGAGAGGAAGAAGAAGCGAGAAGAGAGAGAGAGAAAGAATAACAAGAAGAAAGAAAAAGGATGAGCAGTGAGGAAGAAAGGAGAAAAAAGATGAAGTTTGAGAGAGAACTTAGATCTGGCTTTGTAGAGGTAAGGGAAAACGAAAGGCAAAGGAGAGAGAAAGTGAAAAAGGAAGAAGAGATGATGTGGATGAAAAAAGATGCCATGCAGGTAAGTTAAAAAAAGTCATGTGGGCCCCACTAAAAAGAAAACTGAGATGGTCACTATCTAACATGTAAAAAAAAATGCCATGTGACAAGATTTTCTTTGCTGGATCTACACGTCATTAAGATTCAAAAAAGCCAGTGATTTTGTGGCATCTTAATGTGCCACTTGTGCACTTAACTGATAAAAGGACCATGTTGATACCGAAAATGAAAGTTTAAAGATAATTTTGATACTTTTTAAAGTTAAGGGACAATTTTGGTACCAAAGTAGAAAGTTGAGGAACCAAAATGGTACTTTAACAAAAAAAAAAAAAAAAACTTAACTTGAACCATATTCTACAATTGTTCTCTAAAGTCCCTAATACTCCGAAAATACCTTAACATTCTTCCAATACCATAAATACCAAGTGACAATAAGAAAAAACATACACTCACCTCCTTTCCAATCATCCTCCTTTAATAATTATAATATTATTATTGATAATTATAATTATACCCCTCAATCCCAATTACTTCTTTATTT